GTCTTGATAGACAACGAGTTAAGGCTCAACAATCTTGCGTCTTGAAGTTCTTGGGGGTGTAATCCGCGTTTGGTGTTGGGTCTCGTCGCGTCGTTGGCAAGATTCATATTAGTTGGTATCAGAGCTTTGGTTCCAAGGCAAGTTTGACTATCTTTAATTGCTTTCTTGTGTCTTAGGGTTTCAATTTGAGTTTGTCTTTCTTTTGTTCTTTCTTTGTTTTTGAGATTTCCAAAAATATTGAAAAAAAAAAAGTCAGAATTCCTAGGGTTTCTTGAGGCCGAACATCTTGTTGAGGTCCATTATATTCTAAGGGTTATTTTTCTTGTTGAGGTTGAATTTCATATTCTTAAAAAAAAAAAAAAAAAGAAGAGTCGGAATTCATAGGGTTTCTTGAGGCCGGATTTAAGATAAAGCTTCTAAATCCTTCCCTTCCTTGTTGCTATCTTTGGCCGCATTTAAGATAAAGCCTTTATCCCTAAACCTAGTTGGAATTTAATTAGGTTTTCCTTCCTTGTTGCTATCCTTTAGCCAAAACTTCCATAAGGAGTCCTAGTTTCAATCAGATTTGATTTAAGGTTCCTTTATTAGCCAAGCTTTACAATTTAAAAAAAAAAAAACAGAGAGAATCCGAGAAAAAAAAAAAGGTGAAATTGGAGGATTGTGACTTAGAACAGCTAAAACTTTTGATACAGAGATCGTTACGGGGCCTATAATATACCAAATCGAAGCTCTTTTCGAGCTCTACAATCTTCGGCCTGCGCAGCCCGCCGACCCTGTTTTACAAGCCAAAATTCACCTGTTTTCATTAGTTTCGGGGCCTTTTAATTTTACTGGTTTGTTCGGTTGCCATCAATTTGCTTGTTACTTGAAAAACTTGAGTGTTTTTTAGTCCTGTTAAGAACTAAAGAAGACACAACGAGTGGAAAAGAAAAAGGCAAGAGTGGTGAGAACATCAGAGGGTAAAAGCCATTGAGTGACTAACATGAGTGTAAAGAAAGAAACACATAAGGAGTGAAACACATGAGGGAGTGCTTGTGAGGTTTCTAACTTTGTTTTGCAAATTTTAATCATGTCTCACAACCAAGGCGAACATCAAATCGAAGAGGTTCAACAAGAAGCCAATCCGCCTCTACAACACCCCCGGGGCACCCTTGGGACACCCACCGGGCACCCTCGGGAGACCCCCGGGACACCTCCGGGAGACCCCTGGAGCCCCTCCGGGGCACGCCTGGGAACGCCCGGGACACCCCCGGGAGACCCCCGGAGCACCCCCTGGGCACCGCTGGGACACTCCCGGGCACTCCCGGGACAACCCCGGGGCACCGTCGGGGCACCCCCGGGGCAACACTTTTCTAGAAAATCATTTTCAAAACCAACACTTATATCAACAATGGAAATATGGCATTCCTAGATATAGTCTTCTTTTCTCTTTTTGGAGCTTATGTGGTTCAAGAAGTGTTTGGCATAAAAGTGATTGACCTAGAGAAGTATCCATTTCTGTGGTCTTGGGTAAATGCTCTAGCTGATCATCCTGTGGTGAAAGAGGCTTCCCCTCTCCTCTTGAAAAGCTGGCGGGCCGTCTCAACTTCATTCGGCAGAATGCCCTCAAATCCTCTGCATCTTGAAAATCTTGTAGCAACAAATATTATGGGTGCGTTTGGAATTGGTTCAAAACGTTTTTATTTTTTGTATGAAAATGAAAACGAAAACATTTTTATTTTCATTTTGGAATCATTTCTGAAAATGCGTTTGATAGTTTTATTTCGAGATTGTTTTCAGTTTAAAAAAAAACTGAAATTGTGTTTGATGATTTAATTTTTAAAAACATGAAATAATATTTAATAATTTATTTATGTTTAGTGTTGACAGTTTTTTAATCTAAAAACGATGGTTAAGCACGTGTGCTGCTCTACTTCTAAGTAAGAACCTAGAGAGAGGAAAGAAATTTTTTTTTTTGCTGGAAAGAGGAAAGGAATACTTAAGACAGCTTCTAGAGAGAGAGAGAGAGAGAGAGAGCGCTTCTAGAGAGAGAGAGTTCTATCTGTTTGATCCATGGTTGTTGATTTCTGGTTTATATAAACGTTGTTTGTTTGTTATATAGGCTCATGGCTATGATGTTATTGTAAGTTCTAATAGAATAATATCTTTCATTTTGTTGCTATTTCTTTGCATTACAGAGTTCTATAAATAGATCAAGGAAGATCTGAGCCTAATTTGAAGACTTTCCTTTCACTCTGTCCCCAAACGTTACATTACAGAGTTCTATCTGTTTGATCTATAAACGAGAATTTGGTTCTCTCTCTCTCTCTCTCTCATACCCTGCGCGCCACTCTCTCTCTCTCTCTCTCATACTCTGATTATAATAAAAGTTAAAATTCCACTTTCATGAGTAGGGGATAGAGTGAATCGGAGCAGGTGAGAGAGAGCGGCGAAGAGAGAAGGAGGCGCAGAGAGGGGAGAGAGAGACGTGAGATGAGAAGAGCAGATAGAAGAGAGAGAAATCTGGGAAGAAAAGATGCTCCGGCGAGATTCGGCTATGGCCGCCAGTCGCGAACGCAGAGAGAGGAGAGAGAAGAGGAAGAGGCGACAGATAGAGAGAGAAACGAGTTTGAGGAGAGAGAATGAGATAGAGAGAGAAGAGAGCAGTCGGATAAGAGAGAGAAGAACGGAGGAAGGAGAAAATGAAATGGGGAAAATGAAAACGGATGAAATCCGTTTTTAGATTTTCAATAAAAGACAAACGTTTTTGTTTTTAATTTTTAGAAAATTTTGCACCAAACGTATTTTGTTTAAGCGTTTTCATTTTTTATCTTCGAAAAACGTGAAAAACAGAAATAAAAACAGAAACAAACAGGCCCTATGTTTCTTCATCTTGTTATGTGATATGTTGGTGGTCTCCTTCAATATATCCAAATAAAACGCAAAATGAGTCTAGTACAATTCGGAATTTTGGTGAGTAACTACGTTCTTCTAATCTTTCCTTCCGGTTGTAATTAGGTGGGCCCATTGCCAATTATGTATTGTGGAAATGACTTTCATATGAACAAAGTGTATTGGGCGATTCTAAATGTGCTTAGTTAGTTCTGTGGACAAAACTGGCTTGCTTTATATAACATGTAATGGCATTTCCAAAACTCACATATTTTGTTCATCCACTGCTTCTACACTTGTGACAACATGGTCAAGAAGAACAAAATTGGAAAGATAAAACTCAATTAACAGTTAATAACCAGTCATAGTAATGTGAGTGTTAAAATTCACCCTAATTATATACCATATTAATGCATTCGCAAAACAACTTTTGGAAGCATATGTAGAAGGTACTCTGAAGAAGCTCTCTCGGTTAATAGGATAAGCTGATGATGAAATTTCATATGGGAAGGTTTTTTCTTATGCTTCATGTATTAGTAGCACAAAATTACGTGACCTAGATGCAGGAGAATGCTTGAACTTGGGGATGAGCCAAGGCCTCGAAGAAGTGTTTGAACCCGCTGTTGGTTGTGCTCACGAATTTCTTAAGACACTTCTCAAAGTAAGGGCCTAAAAAAGCACACAAGGGTGGATTCCAGAGACTAGTATTAGATGATATTACGCCTCCTTTATAAGTTGGAGCAAAACCCCTAAAAGATTGATAAGTTGGTCCATTTAATTTTGACAATTAAGTCCTCAAACTCTTAATGCAGTGGCAAATCTAATCATGAGGAATGCTAAATATACTCTAGTACATACTCTTTTTCATATGCTAGTCTATTATTTTGACATGTGCCATCTTTACTTTCTCAAACCAACCCACTTATTAATAGGTCATATTTTAAAACAAATTCACAAAAGTGTCATCCATCTTATTTAATCTTCCTAGGGGTGTTTAAAAAATCCGTCAAACCGCATAAACTGCTCAATTTAAATCAAACCGAACCAAATTATTAATTATTTTTAGATTTTAAGACGGTTCGATCATTTTTTTAATCTAATTTTTTAAGGCAATTTGGTTTGTGTTTTTGACTCCCCAAATCCGCCCAAAAATCCGCCCAAAAATATACGTATATAATTTTTAATTTTTTAAATATTTTTTATGTTTATTTTAGTTTTTATTGGTCATAATAAAAGTACCCTATCATATTTTTATTAGTTGTATTAAAACTTTAAATGGTGAACTTTTATACATTTACTATTTTTGAGTTATATTGTATGTAAATTTGAATCTTATTTTTATTTTTATGATTTAACGATTTTATAACTTTTATGAATTATTGAAAATTATTTTAGTCTTAAGCTCAAACCGCCTAAACTGCTTACGAGTGATTTGGTTCAATTTGATTTTTATCAAAAATATCAAACCACCCAAAATAAAAAATATTTTTATTTGATTGGTGGTTTCTAAAAAAACCGGCTAAACTGACCGGGAACACCCCTAAATCTTCCCCGCATTAACACTTTATATAAGGAAATTGCTAAGCAAAGAGTATATCACGAGCAGTTAAAAAAAGAAAAAAAAGAAAAAAAAAACACACCACATTAACACTTGTATATGAGGAAATTAAACAAAGTATATCACGGTAAAAATAAAAGAAAAAAAAGTAAAGTGGCTGGCGTTACTGTAAATATTAAGTACAAAAAGAGAGGAGTTAAAAGAGGAAGGATAGCACTCATGTAAATTTGTTTAAAAAGTGTGACTTGTTAATAAGTGAGTTTGTTTTAAAAACTTAACTAACAAATGTCAAAAGGATAAGGTAGCATCTGAAAAAAAAGTCTGTATTAGAGTCTGTATTTAGTATTTCTCATCTAATCATATAATGACATCCATCTAAACTTGGACTGAAAAATGCATCTACCTTGTGGTGCGTCACTTATTGACCAAAATTATCACCTAAAAGATTGGCTACCCCGTAAAACTAAATATACTGTACGTTAAGAGTCTTATAAAATGCCAGCCATGCTAATGTTGTTAAGATAACACATATAGGAGAAAGCTTTATTTAGGAAAAGAAAAGAAAAATGTCAACTAGAAATAGCATTATGAGAATAACGCATCCATTCAACTGAATATCTAAAGTAAAGCTAGTTTCACAGGTATAGGAAGAAAATCCTCACAAAACTAATGGTTTTAAATTCTTCATAATTACTAAAGTGAAACGCAAAAAGAGCCAAAATTTCTTTCAGATAAATAAAAAATAAACACTCAAGGACATCTTAGCTCTTTGCAGCTTGCTTTTCTTTTGCTTTCTGAATCTTCAAAACCTTCTTCACAATCTTCTGTTCTTCTACCAAAAATGCTCGGATAATTCTGCCAAACCAAAAGTTTCAGAAAAATCAGGATTGGAATTGGCAATAGAAGAAATAAACATTTCCGACATAGTTAAACGCCAAATATGAGAAGGACGAATTCTATGACACTAAAATTCACAAAAACAAACCTCTCTCTGACGGCTCCACCAGACAACACACCACCATATGCGCGGTTCACAGTCCTCCTGTTCCTAGACAGTCTAGACCTCTTGTATTCAGTAGGTCTCAAGTGAGGAATCTGCAGGTAACGCTTGATTAAGAACAAGCAAAAGGCATACTCTCCGAGAAAAATATCTCAAGTCCAAGGTCACAGCCCAGAATAAATACACACATGCTTATTCTAATAAAGTGAAGAATAACTCAAGACCAATCCTATATTACACTCTTCACATATCAAATTTTTTTCTTAAAAAAACAAAAAAAAAAAACTTGGAATCTAAGAACCGTAACAAGAAAAAGACTCATTTCCCCTAATACATTGACACCAGAAAATGATAGAGAACTATTAAATGATAAGACTGTCACAATACATCTATAATGTTGAAATTGTTGATCAAATTTGATCCTTTCTAAACTTTGAAGTCAGGAATAAGAATGCTCAAAAATTAAATTACGCAAAGCACAACACATCAGAAATAGAGAAAATATATAGCTACTCCACATGCGACCCGAGAAAAATGAAAATCCTAGTTTCGGGTTAGTCTCTTCTCAAAACCAAATTGTTGCAGAAACATGACATAAGCCACAATTGCACATGAATATGGTGAAAGTGAAACAAAATTAAGATCCAAATAACATTCCATTCAGATGACCTTTGTATGTAAGAACTAAAGAACACAAAACAAGCTAACAAGTTACAGATTAATTTCTCAAAAAAATAAAAATAAAAATAAACGCATACCCCGTGGATTCTCTTTCCAGTAACAGGGCATTTGGGTCCACTTGCCCTCTTCTTAGTGGTCTGGTAAACAAGCTTCCCACCTAAATATCAATCAACAAAGAGAAGAAACCAAAAGCTTATCACCCCAAAAGCCCCATTTAAGAAAGCACTAATTCTTCAAAAAAATCACAAAATCCTGTAATGGGAAAATCGTAGCCCACAAAAACAAATCATAATCATTTCAAAAAAAAAAAAAAAAGAAACAAATCATAATATATGTTAGCTGGGTAAAATAATTACGGGAAGAAAAATAAAATCAATTAAAAAAAAACTGTTGGTAATCCATTTCTAAACAGATTTCCACAAGAAAATAATAACATTTTCGCTGGGTTTAGCCCCAAAAAAAATTTTCTGTCCCATAGACTTCATCCAAATTTAGAATTTTAGGAACAAATAATGCCCTTCAACCATATTTTGCAGCTTCTAACGATTAGAAGGTGCATTGGAAGTTTCATATAATAATCCATACAAATTCATATGCCAGCATTTTCCTCAGAAACTGGTCCGTAAGTGTAAGTCCCATAATAAGAAAATATATAATAAAGAAAATCATTGAAATAGGCAATTCAGATATCAGAAGAACTAGATCTAAAAAATTTTAAAAAAAAATCAATTTTTGATTCAGATATCAAAAAACTGAAACTTGGAGTTTAAGGTTTCGAAAGTACCGGGGGTTTTGACGATGCGATGCTGGTTCGACTTGGTCGCGTAGCTATGGCGCTTACGGTAGGTCAGCCTCTGAACCATCTTCACCTCTCTCTCTCTCTCTTTCAGAGGACGAAGAAGAAGAAGAGGGTTTTCTGATTGGAGTGAGAAACTTAAAGCCCTAGATGCCCTAGATCCAACGGATGTTACTTGTTCTCCTTCAACGATCACGATTCTTTCTCATTTTACTATACTTGTAAACGAGAGGTAAAATAAAGAGTTTAATTGCATTGTTACGCGGTGAACTTTTTCTCTTTCGTAATTTGGAACCAATCGTTTAATTTTGTCAAATGAACTAAATTGTAAAATTTATTGCAAAAATGGGAGGTCAAATGAAGAGTTTTAGGCCCGTTCATTTCGCTGATTCGAATTTAGAATTTGAGTTTTTTTACAGTAAAAAGCTCTCACAAACAATCACATTTAACTTTTTTGTTACAGTAAAAAGCTCTCACATAAAATCACATCTTAACTCGAATTAAAAATTCGAATTAACGAACTAAACGGGCCCTTGTTTAGCAATTTGAACTCAAACTTTTAATTTTGATAAATAACACTTTAAATCGTAAAATTTATTGTAATTGTGGTCCAATAACTAACGGACCTAAATTAATAGGATGAAATTACCTAATATTTTTAGACCAATGCACTCTAAATTTTTTGAAAAAAATGGAGAATTTACTCTTAAAAGTATATCAGTCTGAACCTTTACTCATTATTCTTAATAAATACTATTTTGTTAGTGTAATTATTTAACTAAAAATGCTATGAATCAAAAGTAAAAAGTAAAAATCCTAACCCATACATTTTTAAAAAGTACTTGTTAAAATTACCCAAAATTTTTTGTTGGTTAATAGAACTTTAATTTAGTTAGTATATTTTGATTTAGTTAGTAAAAATAATTCATGTGGTTAAAAATCTTTATTTAGTGAGAAAAATCTTTTATCACTCATAAAAAGAAAATTTATGTGAAAAAAATCTTTTTACTAGTGGTAAATAGAACATTTACACGATAAACTGTTATTTACTTTTAAATAGTTTTAAAATCGGTTATTTACTTTAATTATTTATCACAAATCATCTAGGGTAATTTTGATAAATACCCTTAAAAATGATACCATTAAGAATTTTTAGATCTCAATATTAGCCTATTAAATTTTACTCCTTTGGAATAAGTAATTTGATAAATTATTATTAATAATTTGACAGATGTTACCGACGGCGGGTCTCTGATTGCCAATGGCGGGTGTAATTTAACAGATTATTGTTTAAAATTTAAAAATTTATTATCTATAATATAGCATATCACAATTAAAAAAATAAAACTCCAAAAATATATATTTAAGGGTCAATTTTTATAATTTTCTCGTCTAACTATTTACTTCAATTATTTACCATAAATCTGTTATATACTTCGTTCTGCGGATACTAAACTAAAAATTTAAAATGCCACATGCAAATAACAATAACACATCCCCCTCCTCAATCTTATGTTTTTCGCTTCAATCTCATCGTTTTATATAAGAACAGATTAACAGAAAAACTACGTGAGTTAATTTCGCGCGTTTAAAACAAAGACAAGAAGCGACAAGATAACTCGGCGGGGACTGGTGCGTAGTAGCATGAGGTATGAACAATGCAAACGCTGAGCTGATCTGCCTCTCTCTGCTGAGCAAATGCAAGTCCCTCAAAACCGCCAACCAAATCCACGCCTTCGCATGCAAGACCGGCGTCGACTCCGACCCTTTATTCGCCGGAAAACTCCTCCTCCACTCCGCCGTCGCCATCTCAGAGGGCCTCGACTACGCCCGCCGTCTTCTCTCCCATTTCCCAAACCCGGACGCCTTCATGTACAACACCCTCATCCGAGGATTTTCCGAATCCGATAATCCCTGCAACGCTTTCGCTACCTTCAAAGAAATGCATAGAAAATCGGTCTCGCAATTCGATAGCTTCTCTTTCGCTTTTGTTCTTAAGGCGGCGGCGAATCTGCGGTGTTTGCAGGCTGGGGTTCAGCTCCATTGTCAAGCTCTGGCTCGTGGGCTCAATACCCATCTCTTCGTTGGGACGACTCTGATTAGCTTTTATGCTGAATGTGGGTGTTTGGAGTTTGCACGGAAGATGTTCGACGAAATACCCCAACCAAATGCTGTCACTTGGAATGCGATTCTCACGGCTTGTTTCAGGTGTGGTGATTTAGAGGGTGGAGAGGCGTTGTTTGAGCGGATGCCTGTGAGGAATTTGACGTCGTGGGATGTCATGCTCGCAGGGTATGTCAAGGCAGGCGAGCTCGAGCTGGCGAGGAAGGTGTTTTCGAGGATGCCAGTGAAGGACGACGTGTCATGGAGTACTATGATTGTTGGGTTTTCTCAGAATGAATGTTTTGATGGGGCTTTCGAGTTTTTTAGAGAGCTTCGTCGGGCGGGATTGAGGCCCAATGAGGCGAGCTTGACGGGGGTGCTCTCTGCATCGGCGCAGGCTGGGGCGTTTGAGTTTGCAAAAATCCTGCATGGTTTTGTTGAGAAGGCTGGATTTCTGTGGTTGGTTTCAGTTAATAACGCACTTTTGGATATGTATTCCAAGTGCGGGAACGTTGGCATGGCTCGGTTAGTTTTCGAAACAATGACGGTGGAAAAGAGCATTGTGTCTTGGACATCAATGATTGCTGCTCTTGCAATGCATGGTTATGGCGCGGAAGCTATACGGCTTTTCCATAAGATGGAAGATTCCAGGATTAGGCCTGATGGGATCACCTTCATTTCAATTTTATATGCGTGTAGTCATGCGGGCTTGATTGAAGAAGGAAGTAGGTATTTCTCGAAGATGATAGATAGTGGTATAGAACCTAGCATTGAACATTATGGTTGTATGATTGATCTTTATGGCCGAGCGGGTAAACTGCAAAAGGCATATGATTACACGTGTCAAATGCCGATTTCTCCCAATGCCATCAGTTGGAGGACCCTTTTAGGGGCCTGCAGCCTTCATGGCAATGTTGACTTGGCGGAACGGGTGAAGGAAAGGCTTTTTGAACTTGATCCAAACAATTCGGGTGACCATGTTCTCTTGTCAAATGCATATGCCGTCGCGGAGAAATGGAAGGATGCTGCAGCTGTTAGAAGGTCAATGCGCGAGCAACGGATGAAAAAATCTCCTGGTTGGAGCATGATTGAAGTTGACAAGCTAGTTTATAGTTTCATGGCCGGCGAAAAGAAAAACAAGATCGCGGAAGAGGCTTACGGGAAGCTGAAGGAGATAATGTTGAAACTTCGTGCAGAGGGAGGATATGTCCCGGAGATTCGTAGTGTTTTGCATGATATAGAAGATGAGGAAAAGGAAGACTCAGTGACCAGGCACAGTGAGAAACTTGCTGTAGCTTTCGGGATGGCAAGATTGCAAGAAGGCAAGGATATAAGAATAGTGAAGAATTTGAGGATTTGTAGAGATTGTCACATTGTGATGAAGCTTATTTCCAAGGTTTATGGGGTGGAAATAGTGGTGAGAGATAGAAGCCGCTTTCACTCTTTCGTAGCCGGCTCTTGTTCATGTAGAGATTATTGGTGAATCAGGAAATTTGAGACTGATGAATTACTTGAAATTAAAGTACAAGATTAACAGAACAAGTGAATAATTATTAAGCAAGGATGAAAGAGAATACCGTGAGGTAGACACTAGGTCAATAATGAAAGCATTGAGGGAAAGCTGTTAAATCAACGGTGCTGTGCGGGTTAATTTTATCTGCACCATCAAATTGGTGTTTAACACTTTGGTCCTTTAGTGAGTGGTGACTAGTCTTTAAACTCTGTTTAGCTTCAAACTTCTGCGACCAAACTATAGTACTCTGTTAATGATCTGGGTCGTAGGTTTGAATAGAAATTAAAATATATTTTATCTTTTTTATAAGAGAAAAAGAAAATACTATAATAAAAATGATTTGAACCAAACTTTTTAGTATGCACACATAAGACAAATAAAAGTTTAAATTTTGAACAGAATTCATCACAACACCATACCTGTCGGTGAATTTGTTGAAATTTGGTACAGAATTGGCTCTAAATTTCATTTTATTATTGTTTAAAAGAATATAATAATAGAAAAATTAAATGGTTAGCCCCTTTTTGCTAGTTATATTTTACTAGTGTTTGTCTGGTTGGGAGTGGAAAAAGGGGGGAAAAAAAAAGTTAAATCAGACAGAAACTCCCTAAAAAGTAAAAACGTCATGAAATTCTATGTCGTTTACACAGGGGCACAAAAAAGCCACACTCGTAAACCTTTATTATAGCCAATTGTTACTAGTGTTGGCAAAAGAGAGAGAATCTGAGTTTGAGCAAGTGGTTGGTCTTCAGCGTCTGTTTCAAAGCCTCAAACAAACTAACTCCAATCCGCAGCATTTCCATGGCGTTCTCTGCGACATCTTACATTTCCTCTTCTTCCTCACCTTCCTTTGCTTTTTGCTGCAAAACCCAGAGACCCATTTTTACTCGGACCTCAAAATCCTTGATAATAAGAGCTTCAACCACTCTCGACTACTCCAAGCTCTCCTTGGGCGACAAATCCTCAGCCCCCACAAAGGTAAAACACTTTAATTTTACATTTTGATTTTTGGGATTTCACGTTTTCTTAAATCTCTTTACTTGTTAACTCTTTTTTTTTTTTTTAATATTCTCTGTTTTTTTTTAATATTCTCTGTTTTTTTTAATATTTATTACTTTTCTTTGTTAGTTATATGGGTGTGAAAGCTAGTTTGTGATTGGGACTTATGGGTCTTACACGTAATTGTTGTGTGAAATAAAAATTATAAAATTGAGATTTTCAATTGGATTGTGAACAAAGGTGGGACTCTTTTTTTTTTTTTTTTTTGGGCAAGCAAGATAGTATCGATCATAATCTTGCAAGAAATAGAACAGAAAATGTTTCATCTTTGTGTGATTTTGGAACCACCCCCAGTGGGAAATCAGAAAACTGGGTTTAGGAATATAAATTTATAAGGCTAAAATGTATAGAACTTGGATTTGCGTATTGCTTATGATATGGTTCTCTTTAGTAGTTTTGAGCATCATATTAGTTAATATATAATTCAGTTATAAATAATGATTTGAGGATTTTGGTACCATATAAATGTGACAATAACTCACCAATACTCATTTGGTTTATATCAGACAAATAACTGGCAATGGAGATTCAAGGATAATAAGATTAACATCTACTATGAGGAACATGAAGGAAAGGGCGGTGATTCTTCAAAGAATATTCTTTTGGTTCCAACAATTTCTGATGTAAGCACAGTCGAGGAATGGAGATCGGTAGCGAGGGATATAGTTCAGCGAGACGGTAAAGTCAATTGGCGTGCCACCATTGTCGATTGGCCAGGTCTAGGGTACTCTGATAGGCCTAAGATAGACTACAATGCTGATCTGATGGAGAAGTTTTTGGTTGACTTTATCAATGCATCCGATGGCCCGATAAGCAGTTCAGGTTAGTTGGTGTCAGTTCTTGTGTTTATGGAAAACTCCTATTCATGTTTCTGTATTTCCATTCTCAATTTACTATTCTAGAGCCCAAAAGAAAATGTCAGTAGCTATGAGTGGAGTATATGTTGATCCATGTAGTGATTTAGCATAGGCTTATTGTGATTAAACAGTTCTATCTGCTTCTTTTTGGCTCTAAAGTCGAATGTATGAATTCTATTCTTACAGATTCTATTGTCGAACTCTCGTCTCTCTTGCTACATTTGTGTTGAATAATGCTGTTCTAGCCGTTTGCATAAAACCATTTTGAAGGCTATGACTCTTTAACTCATATAGTTGATGCGTTCTTCCTGAGGCTTTTGCAAGTTTATATATTGTGCGACTATTATTACTGAAATTCTCTTCTTCTTTTTTCCCATTTTTTCATCATTTAAAAGAAACAAAAACAAAAACAAAACAAAAAGTTGTTTAATGAAGGATACCAAAGGAGCCCTTAGTTAGTTGTCACTTTGGCACCTTGATTTGTATCATATACTAGTCGATTGAAGGACATCTAGAGATACTCACACTTTCCTTCTATTTTTCTTTGATTATCCAATACAACGCTAAAGCCTGTGCATACTCATTACAAGAGATGAGGTTGCTTAATAACATGGAGAATCCTGTTACTGTTAAAAATTTGGTTGTATAGACTGATTTTGTATTTTACCTTTGAGACTTCAAGTAGGCAGACCAAATAACACATAATAAGAGTTTGAAGTAAGCTTATTTTCTTACTCTAATGTCTTTAGTTTGTCGAATGTGCACTAGCCCTGCAGCTCTAGCATTTTGCGTGCTTTAGTTCTCTTTATTAGATGCTTCTTGTACCACTGAATAGCATTGGTATGGTGGTTAAGAACTCAAAGTCTTAACCAAGAGGGCGCTAGTTCAACTTCTCATCATGGTAGTCGCATTACACTGAAATGCTACCCTTTTCTACTATAACCTTTTATACTCTAGGGAGAGGGAAAAAAGAAAGAGAGAACAATATGTTTTTGTCTGTAACTCTCATCATGCTTCCTAATCTGCGTCCTACGTTACAAATCAATCTTTATGGGTTTACTTCTTGCGAAGTCTTTGTCTTCTCAATTTATTCTTAATATTAAGTGTCTTGCTAACTTTTTTTCATTACAATCTAGCTGATGATTTGGTGGTATTTGGGGGAGGGCACGCAGCAACAATTACCATCCGTGCCGTGAAAAAGGGACTTCTTAAGCCAAAAGGTATTGCTGCCATTGCGCCCACCTGGGCTGGTCCTCTTCCTATTGTGTTTGGTCGAGACTCCAGCATGGAAACAAGGTACAATGAATGTGGATAAAGACCATCTCCAGAAACGGAGAACTTCCTAATTGGTTTTAATTAGTGTTAAACGCTCGCTGTAAATGACTGGAAAACCAAATCAAAGCAACAAAATGTCAAAGAGATATGGTGCAAGATCACTAGGTTACATCTTGTAGCATGAAGATTCTTCCTCTTGCTTTTTTTCTAACATAGTGGCAATCTGTTATTCAAATAAATATTTCCAATTAATTTTGCTACTTTTTTCTAATCATATGTAAGCGTAAGGGCATTCGTTTTTGCCTGATCCCAGCTGATCTCCTCTTTACGCGTCCCTTAACTTGCCAGGTATGGATTGCTTAGGGGAACCTTAAGAGCCCCTGCTGTCGGCTGGATGATGTATAATATGCTCGTCAGCAATGAGAAAGCCATTGAATCCCAATACAAATCCCATGTCTATGCGGACCCTGAAAATGTAACTCCTGGTATTATTGAAAGCAGATATGCACTAACAAAACGCGAAGGTGCTCGCTATGCTCCCGCTGCATTCTTGACTGGTCTGCTTGACCCTGTACAATCCCGAGAAGAGTTTCTTAAACTCTTTGCAGATATTGAAGGAAAGGTGCCAGTTGTGGTTGTATCAACTGATGGATCTCCAAAGAGGTCAAAAGCAGAAATGGAAGCTCTCAGGGGAGTTAAAGGGGTGAGCAAGTTTGTCAAGGTACCAGGCGCTCTTCTTCCACAGGAGGAGTATCCCCTTTTGGTTGCTGAAGAGCTTTACCAATTCCTGCAAGAAAAATTTTGATTTGGAGTTTAAAGCTTGGTTTACATTATACTTTAGGCTTTGGTTGGGTATACATGAATAATTCGGTTTTAGCCCCCATTGTTGTAGTATAGATTTTGCAAGAGTAGAAAAGTTTGCCCAAGAATATGAATCATTGAAATATACGGACCTTTTTTTTTTCTTGTTATTGTGTAGCATATACATATATTTTGCACTATTATTCCAATATTGCCTCTCTATGTAAAGAAAACTTTGTATGTTGGTTAAAGGAGTCGGTTTCTGACAAACCGTTGCTCATACAACTTCATTTGTTGAATTGCATGATACACTAATAGTTGGTATCCATATAAGCAATTACTCAAAATGTTGAGCTTAAGAGCGTCATTTTAAAAATTATCTAAGACCTCGTTTATTTCACCGATTCGAGTTTTACTATAGTAAAAAGCTCGCAGAAATAGTCACATTTAACTTTTTTGCTACAGTTTAAAACTCACATAAAATTACATTTTAACTCAAATTAAAAACTCGAATCAACAAAGTAAACAGGTCCTAATATTTTGTAGTAATATGATTGTCTATGCTTTTTAAAATTAATTGGTTGTGGTGCATTTTTTTCCCTTTTTGGGTATTGTGATATTGGTCATTGTCATAAAGTTTTTTTTTTTTTTTTTTGCTAATGAATTTCTAATCTTATTTCATTATGAAAAAAGTTGCATTCTCTACTTTCTTCATTGATTATCAGAGAGTTTTGGTTGATTATGATGGTGAACATCATCATGAATTGGAATCTTTGTCATGATAACTATATATGCACATCACACACAAGCAATAGTATAGACTTTTAAAATTTCTAATCTTATTTAATTATCACAAAATTGCAATAATCGTAGGATTGAAAGTAGGTATAATGGTGTCATTAAACATATGATTTGAGATAACTTTATATTAAAATGAAATTATAGACCGTTTTGAAACTGAACATTAATGTTTAGACATTTATATTAATAACCCTTTTATCGTATTTGGTTTGCTGTGTAAGATAAGTATTGTTGTTCTCAATCGTTCTGTTCTAGTACAATGTTGGTCCTGTCTGATTCTGGAGAAAGGGCATTGCTCAAGAATTTCCTTACTATCAGCAAGTAGAGCGACAAAAGATTTTTCCAAATTCTGTACTATGTCTTCAAGATGTACAACTCTTTGTTTCCACTAAGGATTAAGGATTAAGGATTTGAAATTTTGTTATTTATATTTCGTTGAGAAACTTTTGTTCATGGATTTAAATTTAGGTTATATTTATCATCGCTGACGAAGATGATGATGATTTATAGTTTTTTACTAGAGAAATCTATGTATGCACATAAAATTAGTTGACGAAATAGTTTATAATTGGGTAAAGTGATAAAAAAAAAATCATTTTATCTAATAGTTTATGTTAGCGAAAATGTTTTTTTTTTTTTTTTTTTTTCCTTAAGACTTTAAGGACTGTTTTCTTAAAGGGTAATATTGACAAATATTTCTTAAAAATACACCGGTCATGATTTTTACTCTTTATTCTTGATTTATAACATTTTTACTCAAATAATTACACTAATAAGTCCATACTTATACACTCTTAAAGAGTAAATTCTCTATTTTTTCTTTCTTAAAAGGAGAAAATTGTTAAAAGTGTTATATTTAACAACGGTCTCATTAAAAAACCGATTTGTTTTTTCTTTTTTGAGGAAAAAACCGATGTTGTTAAGAGTGTTGCATCAGGGATCGCAGGATACTCTACGTGCATATCAATTATAATATTACGACTAAAAACGATCGTCAAATGTGAGGCACATACAAAACTATAAATCTACAATTTCTACTAAAGTGATTCAATATGCCATAAATATTTCCGTTTCTCTATCATGAACCATAAACCGTCCGCAATTCAACATTCTGAAAATGCAAAGAGTATGAGAAGATCGTTTATAAGTTGTTATGAATATTACGTCCTAAATATCGTTTATTAATGAGAGCAACAGAATCGAAGAAGAACAAACAAACAAACATATAAAATTTATTCTAATTCCCTCTAAAGGTAAGAGTTACATCTACATCTAGACATCAAGATGAAGATATCACAAACCTCATGCATAAGTATTTGCCTCGTCAGAGAGATAAGTAAGCTGCACACACTCAGTAAAAATCTCATACCCTAAATGTTTTTTTTTTTTTTTTTCCCTTTTTTTGCTTGGATGATAATAATTTTTGAGTTGATGATGAAAATAACTACATAGAAAGCTAAGTTCGCTAGAGCAGAAAAAAAAAAAAAAAAAACATAAATTAATGGATAAACAAAGAATAATAAACATAAACGTACGTAGATAACGACTTAGCTTTAAATAACACATGGCTTAGAAAATGAAATTGTAAATGATAAATATATGGCCACCTTTTTAGAAAACCAATAAAAGAGCCGCTTAATTCTTGGAAAATGAAAATTTAAATAGCCACTTTATTAAGAAAGCCGTTTAAAGTGCCTTTATTAAGAAAATGATATGCAAATGCTTGCCCATCTTATATATATTCTGCATTTTTAGCATAATAATAATAATAATAATACAAGAAGGAAATTTACATGAGCTGATACAAAATTAATCGTATGGAAGTCTCAAAAAAAAGAAACACAGGGATAAATTAAAACGAACTAGAAGGAACAGTACTATAGAGATCGTCATGCATGCAGAGAATGAGTTAAATTTGCATGTTCAGTTTATTGATTCGAGTTTTTAATTCGAGTTGAGATGTGACTTTATGTGAGAGTTTTTTTATTGTAGCCAAAAAGTTAGATGTGATTATTTCTGAGAGCTTTTTACTGTAGCAAAACTTGAATTCTAAATTCGAATCGGTGAAATGAACGGGTCAGTTTGCTATAATGGCTTTGTTCTTAAATTAATTTTACAGTTTTCGCATGAAGCTTCATACCCCCATCCCATCTTGTCCCATGCATGCATAAAGTTTTTTTGTTTGTTTTTGCTCTGTTCTAATTAATATATACCTGTAAAAAATTGATGGAATATAATGTAAAAGGGTAAGCTGTTGGAAAGTTAAGAAGTAGAATAATAAATTAAGTTATAATTGATTTCTTTTTTAGTGTTTATACACCTATTAGGACGTAGATTCTACCCCCCAAAAAAAAAAGTCCAATTCTTTTTTCTAATATCTATAACCGGGCTATTTTTGCATGGATACCCCCTCAACTTCACGATTTTGGTAAATTAGCCCCTTAAATTTTTTTCTTGGCAATTCACCTCTTAAACTTTTAAATTTATTGCATTGTTCGTCAAATTAAAAACGAAGTTAAAAATTTGGATGGTATCTTCCACGTGAGTATTAAAATGGGATAATTCTAGTCTTTTCACATCGAATTGAACCCATTATACACGTTAGGAATGAATTTTTTTTTTTTTTGAAATTGGGGGAACCCCCATTTTTCTCCCAAAATAACTCCCAATTTCAAAAATAAATAAATAAAACCGCTCGTGATGCGTTTATGAGAATCAATTCGATGTAAAAAGATATTAATTACCCTTATTAAACACTCACATGAAAGATATCGTCTAAATTTTTAAATTCATTTTTAATTTGACCAACATTACAACAAATTTCAAAGTTCAAGAAGTGAATTGCTAAGAAAAAAAATTAAAAGACCAAATTGCCAAACTCGAAAAGTTGAGGGGCTCTCCACGCAAAATAGCCTTATAACTAATTTAAGAGGATTCAGATCACATGTTATATTTATGTTTGTGTCCTGAATTAATGTGTCTATCCAGTCACAGTTTACCATATTAATTATTGACTCAAAATATTTTAAATTTTTAAATGATGTGATTGGTCAGAAACCATTTTGAAAAATAATCAAACTCAAATTTAAAAATAGAAATTGTAATGGCTTAATACTAAAAATGACCTCATATCTATCATTATTAGTTTAACAAGGATACAAAAGTGATGTATTTTAAATACAGAGTAAAGATAACTTGCGTCGAGAAATGAAAGTACATAAAAAATTAGGTCGACACCCATGTGTCCATCCTTCACTAAACCCTCCACTCTTTTCACCTTTTTTATCTTAATAGAAAATAAAATAAATATATACCACGAGGTAGCTTAGGATTTTTGTTTTCTCTTCTCATTCCTAGTTTCCTACATTATGTGGGCCTCACCAAATTGATATTTCTTACTTTGTAAGTAATAAACACAGGAATAGGTGAAAAGAGAAAATTCGTATCTATTCTTATTTTGCATTCATGACAAATACATGTTGGGAATAGTGTCCTAAGCATGAGATGTAATAGGATATTTATTATTTAATTAATAAAAGAGTTTATTCATCATTTTATGTGCATATATTTATGAATATTTTATGAATATCAAATGAAAATTTCGTGATTGTTTATGTAACCTTAAAGATAGTATATAAGTGTTATATACGAGAGGATAGTATTTAAGGATAATAATAAAAAACATTGCTCATGATGAATTTAATTAAAGTTCAGAATCTTTAATTAAAACATTATTAATACATGTCATTCCCATTTAGTATGGAACGGTGTTATCCGCACTGTTAATATGACGAGATATTGAATGAGTGTATTTCACATAATAAGATTATGTGAAACAAGGACACAGACACAATATGAATTTCTAATAATTTTCGTTAAGTATAGAAATTCTAATTGGGTCTACCGATGGTCATATATAGGATGATCTTAATCCTGAGTTCTTAACAAACTCCTATTTATGGATTTATGTCTTTTGATTTACTCGGTACGGATTCCGAGACCCTGAATCCTATTCCTTGTATTTTGGAGACATAATGAAATAGGTAGCTGGGAATGTTATTATACGAGATGGAATCCATTCCTTCTTAAGAAAAAAGCAGATAAATAATTCTCTTGAGTGTTGATTCAGTACTTGGATTACTAAGAGCGCTCTGGTTCATGAATGTGTTTTATGAATCACTATCCATTAGAGAATCAATGGTACTCAAGGATGCAGATATAATTAGAGAGGTTAACGGATT